TTTCATTACAATTTAATGAAACATATGTATGTATGTATGTATATATTTACTTATGCACATACACATATATAATTATTTCTGCAATCAAATTTTCTATTCATGCAAAAAGCCAAACGCATAAATATGTACGTATGTACACATTCATTTGTAAATATGTAGATATGTAATGTATGTATGTAACATATATATCTACATACAAATGTGCGATTGGTCGGCTTTCGCATATGCATATTACTGCCAAAAAAACTACGAACATGCATATAAATGTACATATGTACAAATCACGGCAGCATACATATATATGCACATAATTACACGTATACTCAAATACAACAATAACTATTTCATTCATAAACGCATGCGCATATTTCTCAAGGCCAAGTAAATTCATTCATAAAAACAACCGCAGCACATCTCCCCGCAAATTCATCACCAACAAGCGCAACTTTGTCAATCCGACACAAAAATTCTAAAATCTTAAAATGAAGAAATCTCGGCCAGCCAAGTGAAAATTGGCAATTATTTCTCTATATCCAGTAAAATAAGTTATCTCGAATCTTGGCAATTTTTGGTAATTTTTGACAAAACACTCTATTTCTCTGTTCCATACCAATATTTCAATCATTAACTAGTATTTTAAAGTGTCATTTTAATAAACATTAAATAAAAGTGTATGTTTTCTGCAGCAAAATACATTAATTTTTTTTAAATAAAATCAAAACTTGTAAAATCACAAACATATGTGGTTTTATCGGAAGTTCACAGATGTAACGTGGCAACTTAGCTCGTTTTCTTATTTTTCGGTCCGAAATTGTAGAATTTTTGTCCATGCCGCGCCACAATTTTTGTACAGGTGGGTCAATGTGCCTTGAACAAAATTTATATATGTATATACAAAAAAATTATTTTATTTATTTTTTTAATATTAAAAATTTCTATACTTCCAAGCGTTTATAAAAATATATTTACATATATGCACGAACGATTTTTAATATTTTTCATCCCTAAGCAAATCTTCAGTACCATAAAAGATTCAAACACATCAAAGTACAAGCAATGCATTGTTCAACCTAGTGCTACTCCACTGTACATGTGTATATGAATGTATGCATGTATGCGTGTAAAAAATGTCAATTCCAGTTGGTCTTTAACCCATTTAGCGGACATAGTTTTTTTGGTTTCAGCTGGTTGCAACTGTTACACCGACACCGTCGGTCAAGTGGTGCACTCGTCGACGTG